AAGAGAATAATTTGATCAAAGGACGTGAAATATGCTGTGGACACCTGACGATAATGAAGCTGGTCTGAATCATTGACGTTGCAAATGGGGATGTGAAATTGGAAACCGCTAGAGAGTGCGAGATTTTGAGTGAAGTTAACGCGATATTTCAGGGCGTTGGTAATGAAGTAAGCATTATCAATGTGAAAATTTCATTGTTCCCGCACGGAAGCGTGATAACGCAATTTAAGAGCATCGATGAATCAACACGCAAGAAGTTTCAGGTCCTTTATGAGCAAAAAATTGTTGCTGAAAGAGTGATGTGTTTGTTCATGTGGATTAGAAAGATTCGTTCTAGAAACTTTTCGATCTGTTACCAATATCGTACACATTTGGCCAAGTACGTCCGATTTATCAGCTGTTATTCGCTTCATCGCTGCAAGTCTTGGCCTCAATTTGCGCCTAAACCTATCTCTTAGACTAAGACTAAGAATGAGCAATCATGTTAGGTGGTAGTGAGTTTGGAGAGTGAGATGATTCTTTAAAGAGCGGAATATTTTTTTCAGGAGCGAACATTCCGAGAGCGAGTCTTCCCAGGTCCCTGTTTACATGGGCTGAGGATAGGCATTTAGATAAACAATTGGTGTTTTCGATTAGTCAAAGTGAAATAAACACCGGGAACTAGCCATAGTTCAGTCCNTAGAAGACTTGCACATCACCTTATTCGTAAAGCAGATTTGTGATTAAATCAGCGCTGTATCGCTCACTGATAACGTGACTTAATCGTTTCATGATAAGATACATTAAAAAATTCTCAACTAGCAGTGACGCACTCTAATGCATTTATCGTCCACCTTAAGAAGTGCTTCAATTTTATTACGTTACCTCACCACTCTAAACCAACAATGTATCGTTTATTGATAACGTTAGTCAATCATCTTATGATAAGATCCATTGAAAAAATCCTCAGTAATCGCACTTCAATCGAAGTTAATTCATGCGGCCATGATTGTTGTGATTATGCTTTTATTCCAATGATAGCGTTTGCCATTGACTGCATTTCGAGTTTATACTTCTCTTATTTGATTGTACTGATCAATTGTACGACGGTTGATCGTATTAATCCTGATAGTTTTTAAAACTTTTGCTTTTACTCGTGGAAATGCGCAGTCAGTGTCAAATATGGCGCAAATATTTTGGAGAGAACCATTAATTGAATTAATAGAGTACGTCTGGAGGTATTCGAATGATACAAAACGTGCGATGCACCTTAATTTAGTCATTTTTTTATCCTGATAAAACTTAGCTTCCAGATTGAACGACGTCGGAGCTCAATGAGTCTGATTTCATTAAGATGTTGATTTTCAACAAGTATTGCGCTCATCTGGACACTGTTGGTAATGAGAGATTTTTTTAGGATACCCAACAAATTATGAGTTCTGAGAGCTGGTCGGTTGGTTGGGTGATAAATGTAGAGGATCAAGAGATTAAAATACTTCACAAGGGTCGAACAATTCGATTGTCCCGTAACAAAATGCGTTCGATCGTTGTGACGGGTGACTGGATTGCATTTCAAGTTTGTACTTTCCTACTTGATCGCATTGATGAATCGCTGATTGCTAAGAAAATCTCTTGAGTGTTTTGATAAAATTCGAATTTCTGGAGAATTATGTTGGATTCGAGGAAGATTGTTCCACATCAGAAAGTTGCACAACGCATTTTGCCGCATTGGTACTCCGCATAATGAGATTGTTCATATCGTTTTTACGCCAAACGCCTGTTCTGAGAAAGGCTGTTCTAATTTTTATTTTATTTTATCTTTATTTAATCAGCAAATCAAACTCATTACGAGTTTATGCCTCTCTGTAATTACAAATATCACTAATATCACATTCTTCCTTCTGCATTCTTTCCGCCGAGCAGCTAACGATAATAGCGTTTGGAATCATCTGTCTTCATGAAATCCAAACTTGGATTATTGATTTGGCAAGTACAGAGGTTTTGGGCTACTCTCCCATATGCCCATTTATTTCTAGGGAGAGGGTTTCAGAAGGAGCCCGAAAACTTTCAGGCTGTTCTAAATTGTAATAATATCTTAACGTGAATGTCAATATGAAATATCGACAATTGGTCTGTTTTACACCGAAGTCTCTTTATGTGTCATTCAAAATGCAGTTGTTTACACCATGTGATTCATTTAGCAATCGAATTCGGTTATATTGGTACTCCACATGATCATATTCCTTACACTGTTTTTATACTGAATGCCTACCTTAATGCAAGTCTTATTAGTTTTCCATGCTTGGGTGACAGTTAAGGCTTATGAAGTGTTGCAGACTAATGCAGCTTATTCATTTGATAATGAAGTGGTAAGTGAAAAGTTGAACAATTTCAGAAGAACACTGCATTTGGTCAAGGTTGCTCAATTCAGATCATTGATTCAGTATTGCCAACGAAAACTTTTTGGAACAGCTCGAGGGAGGGAAGTGGAGTACGTTCGTATATCTTTTCCTTTTACTCATCTAGTGCCGACTACATCGCAGAATAAGTATAATACTCGAATTCGAATTCCGCTTAAATTTCCATTTATCACGTTCTCAATTTTTCACTGACAATAAACTTTTGATCATTTAAGCTCACTTTTACCTGCTATCGTGAAGAACATTACTGCGAATTACCGCTTTTTATCATTCTTCAATGAAATTCACCATGTTTGACCATGCAATTCCACGCGAAGGATCCCAGCGGATATTACCATTGCTAATAATATCCTTTAGTCACCGCAAACAAAGTGTATCTGCGTAAAAACCATTGCCATCGGTTTACCAGATGTACAATTACAAGAGGATGATTCGGCGATTCATAGAATATGGTCACCGCATTTCGAGGTTATTTTCAATTGCATTTCATAGCAGTTCTCTGTTGTTTTGCGCTGGTAATGAAAATTCAGTAATAATGTTGGAATATTGTTCGTAATATTTGAACGACACAAGCAAATTATAGCAACAATGGAGTAAAGACGAAAACTGACCATGAAATGCTCACGAATTGTCAATCAACGACATGCAGCACAATGCAAGATCCGAACCCGGATCTTGCATTGTGCTGCAACAAATCGTGATCCTGACGATGTGGAATTCGTAACAAAATATGATTTGATGCATCAACGTTTTTATGGGCCGAACTTTAAGGAATGAGAAACGGCAGTGGATATGCGGATCAACGAATGATTCTGAATGAATACTTTCATTTCATTTATAACTTCAATATCTTAATTGCAGTATCTGGCTGATCCTTTGCACCTCTTCGATAATCCTGTGAATGTGAAACCAAATGTAGCATACGATGTATGGTGCAGATTGAACAGCGACCCAAAATCACAATATGACGGTGTGAGTCCGATTCTTGAGATACACTCGATCGAGGCACCGTCTGAAAGTCAAATGATATCGCTCAATTCCGTACGTTACTGGAAATCAGTTCTTTGCTTGTTTTTCGGTAATGCAATATGATTTATTTGAACTAATGTGATTTTGCTAAATATATACCATTGAAATAAACGGTTTATGCATGACTCTGACGGCATTTCTTGAAATATTCGATTGGTAACGTAATCTTGTAAAAAGTGGAATAAAATTTTCAAACACATAAGAATAACATGGCAATGCCTCAGATAAAAAGTTATAGGTGATAAAAGGAAATACTAATTGCAGCCATGGGCTGAGAGGAGAGAAATCAGTCCAGTTAATCAAGCGTCATCAACGGATCAACTCTCAAAGAACCAGCAATCCACGGCACAAAGTCAGGAACGATATGCTGAAACTCAGAACCAATCCAATGGAAGTCAGAAAATGATTAAAGAAGAACAGTTACGACCTACAGTAAGTCTTTGAAAAGCGCCCATTGAAATAAACGATTTACACATGGTTCTAATGGCTGTACAAAGCTGAAAC